GATTTGGCCTGTTTGGACCGTAGAACAAGGCCTGCAGGTTAATAAACCCTCTTCAGCGTCCTTCATTTGCCCATGATGAACTCAAATGGCTTCAAAAAGATTGCGTGTGAGTGTTGAAAAGCATATCAGAATCAATCAAACCTACTCACCCCGAGAAACCCGTCCCCGCCTTGCGCTGGATCCTCTGCGGGATCGGTAGTATCCCCAGGTGATTCGGGCGGGACATGTTTGGCCGGGGCACAGGAGACGCCAGTCGCATGAAAGGCCCTGACCTGGCTGATGCCCGGGCGTGTCACAGTAGAAGGTCTGAGGGACGTGATAAGAGAGCGATAAGCCATAGCCATGTCTATATATATGTGGTCGGTCAGGTAACTAAAGAGTGAGTAGTGAGATGGAATGTCAACGTGAAGATGGTCACCTACTGGCAACTGGGCCCCACCTCCGTCATGCAGCTTCCGCCACACCTGCTTTCAGTTGTAATCCCGGCGTATTCCCGATCTGATCCCGTCCATCCCTCCTCCCCTTCCTCCGCGACTTTGGCTCGGTTGCCCTTTCAACCTGTATGTATATTGCAGGTGGACTGGCCCATATAGGAGCCTCATAAGGTATAGCTAGTTCTCTTCCTTGTATGTCGTATTAGGCTCATATCTTTTCTTCTGCCATGCTCGAATATCATCAAATATACGATCTACCGCTCTCGCTCGCGTCATCGAATCGACCTCGACTTTGGATCCCTCCTTGATTGGACCTGTCAGACGCTGAATCGTTCAAACTTCAAATCCATTGGCCTTCCCATCTGATCTTGACAGGTGAGTTCTAGTCTTGTTTCATGAGGATGCTAACAACTATCAGTCATGTCTGGGGACGACCATTTCCCCCGCGGGTTCTCCTCTGTTCCTAACAAACCCTTCGACATCATGCCTCCTGGTCCACCAGCAAGGTACGATCGTGAAAGGGATGACAGGGATAGGAGAGAGTTTCCGATCCGAGACAGAGACCGTGATTTCCCTCGTCGGGATCTCGATCCCGATCCAGACTTGGAAAGATGGGAGAGACGACTAGACAGGGATGATTACGAGAGGGGAAGAGGTTTCTCCTCGGAACCATATGGTGAGCTCTTCCCCATCATATCCATGTCTACTACGCGTCAAGATGTATTGCCGACTATCCAGACCGTGGCAAGCGTCGTCGATCACCTTCTCCTGGAGGTCCATCTCACCGTGCTCGTCTGTATTCTCCTTCCCCGCCTCGACCTCCCCCTCCGCCGCAACATAAATTTCCCGACCCTGCATCTCTGGATTATCTCCTCAACTTTCGCCAATTTTCGGAATGGTTCCGAGCGGAACATCCCATGACTGCTCAACAAGATCACGAGGAGGTGGCCAAAAGACAAGAGGAGGCCGAGCAGACTGGTACAGTATTGAGGGAGAAGGTGGGCATGGCTAAGCGGTATGAGAGGTATAGGAAGGAGTACCATTCACGGCAAGTGAGTGATCGACTGATTTTGTCCTCTCCTGACATCCTATGTCCGGCGTGGCCGCTTACAGTAGAGGAGTGAGGCGTAGCTAACAACCACTCAGTTATATGCCCTGTTCCTCACTCATCGTGATAGTCCATGGTTCAAAGAGAAATACTCCAACGATCGTGAATACGTTGCTCTTCGCAAACGGTGGTCAAAAGAGGGAAGGACTCTCACCTCGATCGCCTATGCCGCAAAGTTGAAAAACGGCGAGATGGATGACGTCTCGTTTGATTTGACAGGTAAGGTTGCTCTCCCCCGGGCAAGTTTCACGGCTCACGAGACAGAAGATACCGAGAAGCATGGTATTCACCGCCGCGGAATTCAGGAACACGACGAGCCCGATGGCTTGGACCGTGCCCTTGACGAAGCACCTCAAGACGACGCCATGCGCATGGAAGTGGCGCCGAAAGAACGACAGATTTTCGTCAAGACAGTCCCGCCGTCCAGCAGTAGACGCGAACTCGAAGAGGTGAGTTTTGAGTGATGGTTTCAGAGTGGCACTGCTGACGTCAGCTCTTTGCCCAATGTGAAGGTTTTCAATATCTCGCCTTGACAGAACCGCAGATAAAGAAGTCGTTTCATAGAGTAGCGTGGGCACAATTCGCTGAGGGTGTGGACGTCAAGGAGGTCGTTGACAAACTCGACGGCTCCAAGGTGGGGTTTCGTTTGCTTTCCGAGGCGATACTGACCGCTTAAGCTCGACAACTTCACTTTTCACATGGGAGTCAATTCTGCACCCGTTCTCGGTCGTATACGCGTCACACACCCCATTGCCAACACGCTCGAACGACTCGAGATCGACGGCGACAACGCTCAACAATTGGCATTGAAGTTTGAGGCTGAAATGGCAGCGCAAGGTCCAATCACCCGTGCTTCCGACTCTACTGAGCGCGAGGAAAAAGTCAAGGGGGAGACCGGAGAAGAGAACTCCATCAAAGTTGAAGGTGTTCAAGCGAACCACATGAAAGTGGATGAAACGCCTATTCCAAATCCCCCAGAGAAAATTAGCGATCTTGTACAGGCCACTATTGATCGAGTGCTGGACTCGGAGGGTCTCACCTCTAAGGGCTTGAACCAGGAGCAACAGATCCGTAAGGTGAGTTCATTCCAGACGGTCATTTTCGCATTCGCTGAGTATGAGGCAAAGATCATACTCGATCAATGGATCTCGTACCTCCGAAACGGTCTTTCGACATGTTACTACTGCGTTGCACCGATGGTTTTCCCGGAAGAGTTACAACGCAAGTGTATCGCTCACATGCGTCCGCGGATTCTTGAACCTCCAGAGCTCGCTTCTAATAAGGAAGCCTCCAACAGCCCCACACCCGAGTTTAAGGACGCCAAGGAGGAGCTGGAAGTTAAAATGGAAACCGAAAACGGCGAAGTACCGTCGAACGGGGTCAAGGCAGAGCCCATGGATGTCTCTGGAATAGCTGGGGAAGAGCCTGACAGAGAGGTCAGAGACGACGAGACCAAATTGGTAGATTCACCAATGAAAAAATCGAAATTGCACGATCGACTCGCTCCCAAGAGGTCGAGCGATGAACGCTGGGTGGAATCTCTGGAGACGAAGCTGAAGCCTCTTCTAGGCGAGGTGGATGTGACCGAATATGGTGGACGTGATCTAGAAGAGTCAGTTTGGTCTGTTCGCGAGGGTAGAATGATACTGATGGAAACAGAGAGACCAAACGTCTAGCTGCTCCTTTGATACGACAAGAGGAAGTGTCAAAGTATCGTTGCAAGGAATGCAACAAATTGTTCAAAGCACCCGAATATGTGATGAAACATGTTTTAAGCAAGCATACGGAAATTGCTAAACCTCGACTGGACGAGGTGAGTCCATCACTGCACTCCTCAGATCTTCCATCCTTGAGGCCACTCATCATCCAACTTCATTGTCTCAGTATCTAAATGAAGTTGGATTGTGTCATTCAATGATTGACATTCAGCTTGCCGAATTCAACAATTTCGTTCTTGATCCACAACGTCTTCAACCATCCGCTCAAACACCCGTTACTGTCGACGATCGACTTCCTCCTAAACCAGTATTCAACCCTTCTCTCCCACTTCCTCTTCCCATGCCGATGAACATGCCAATGAACCAGAACGGTCTACAAGGGCAAAATGGCTTTCCACCTAACCCGGTGATGCAACAACAAATGATGATGATGCTGCAGATGCAACAGATGATGATGGCTGCTCAGGGAGGAATCAACCCTCTTGGCGCTGTTGGACCAGGTGGTATGGGTATCCCGGGACAATCTCTAGCACAACGTATGGGAGGTTTCGCTCCGAATAATACGAGACAAGGGAGGGTAGGGACTGGTGGAGGGACAGGGTTAGCAATACCGATGGGAGGAGAAGAGGATCCTAGGGCTAGAAGAGGTCGGGTGAGTTATAAAGATCTTGATGAGGTTGAAAGTGGGGTTGGTGATGGAGGTTTACCCTATTGAGGGTGTATGTAGGGATATCATACTTGTAGTTGATTGATATGCTATGCCGTGTTGACAAACCATGAGAAGATGCATACTATCCGTTGCTCCTTGTTCATCCTCTAACTATTGAGTCTTAATGCATGTGCTGTGTAAATTGACTGCTGCATACTGCATGCTGCATGTTGCTATTGGCCTAAGCTAGTCTGGAGTTTCAAAGAACATAGAAATTCCATGATTTGTTAGCTTGACAACCTGTAGCATCATCAAATCCAAGGGGAGTTCCTGCATTCTTTATGAGTACTCCAACATGAGTTTACTCAATCTGGAAATGACATGAACAGTTCAGTAGGTAAGTGGATCCTTGATTGAGTTCAGTTTATGCAGACGTGCAGACGTGCGAGTGTATAGAATACAAATGTCCTCACATCGTAAATACTTTAATTCGAGCATACGTGTGTGCATTACAACTTTTGATTTCTACTCCTTTCTCTCTCATACTTTCTATATCTCATCCACACTTTTCAACTCTTCTCTTTGTATACTCCATTTACGAATCTTTTCATGTCTCTCCATCTTTTGCTCTTGAATGATCTTATTCAGCACTAGACCGAGATCATGTGAGAGTGAGATGTCGAAAAATCTGAAGATTTTTTTTTTCAAGTGGAATCACGAGTCAAATGGACCATTCCGGTCAAAGTGGAAAGATCTACACTTAAAGTCCTTTTAAGAACTCCAAGACCTAATAAACCACCTTTTCCGAATAAACCACCTTCATTTCCATTCCCATTTACGACTCCTCCGTCAATAGGAGAATTCGAAATTTGTTGATTCGGAGTTTCATTTGGAGTTTGTGTAGCTAATAAACCACTTCCTAACAAACCTCCATTTCCTGGAGACGAATCAGATGGGTTGGAAAGAATAGGAAGACCTAGATCTAATCCAGTGTTGAGATTGGCTATTCCTCCAAGATCGGTATTATCATGTAAAGAAACACCGTTAAGACCGACGGCGGCGGAAAGGTCTGTACAGAGGACTTGTAGACCAAGAGCGTCTAGACATAAATCTACGCAAATGGAGAGGATGGGATCAAGACTGGTTTGTTAGTGGAGGATCTTTATACGTTCGAGAGCGATTGACTTTGAGATGAATGATCTTGTTGGTCGTACATGTAACTCGGAAGATTCTACAAATCCACTTGGTTTTGTCTTGAGAAAAAGATAAGGGTGTTTAGGAGGGAAATAGTAAGTCAGGGGAAGATATGTCATGAATTTATGGGAGAAAAGGGAGAGGGAAGGGGGAAGAATAATGGGGAATGGGTATGTAAGGATTTTGAGGAAGAGATGATGAGAAGAATGAAATGTAAAAAAACCACTCACCCTTTACCAGGATCACATACACATTCACCATTAACTTCCGTTTGACTCTCTTTACAACATTTCGTTTTTCCTCTTTTCTCTCCTCTAGGACATTGTGAAAGTAAAACATGTCCTTTTCCAAAGAAACCATCACCATCTTCATCATCATCCCCAACCGTATTGGTGGAATTATCATCGGGAATGGTAGATGGTGCTAAAGTGGGGATTGCAGATGGTTCAACATTCACGCTGAAACTCGAGAGAATCGGAGCGGTGGAAGGAATGGAGTTCACCGAAGGGGTGATAGTTGCTGATACCGATGGGATGGAAGAAGGTATAACCAAGTTTACGAAAGCAGGACTCGAAGTGGGAACAACGTTGAATTGAAGGGTAGAGGTAGAGGTCGCACTTGGAGAAGCAGAAGGGAATGAGCTACTGGTAGGAATGGAAGAAGCGACTTGATTGATGGTTGGGATCATCTGTGGAGAAGATGTAGGAGTAGGGGTGGCGGAAGATGATTTGATAGCAGAAGGAGTAGAAGGGTTGGAAGGTATGTTTTGAGCTGCAATGATTTCGTCAGATTGTCCACACATTCCCCCTCCGGATCCAGAGCCGGCAGAGTACACAGTTTGAGTAGCGTAGACAGTTTGAGTGACGGTAATCATTTGAACCTGTACGTTAATCGATCGTCCAAGCTACACTACAGAAGTTCTGAATCAAAATCCACTCCAGTCGTTCTCAACCCAAACTTAAGGGACAGGTGGAAAGGTGGAAAAAAGTGAGACATGACAAGAGAAGCTGCAGGAAAATAGAGGAACACTCACGTATGCAGTAGCAGGAACAACAATCGTATTGGTAGAAGTTACCATGACAGCTGGTACACCATCCTGATTTCCGTCATTGTTTCCATCGTCATCCTGACCATCATCTTCATTGGTTTGAATACCACCGGGTGGATAATAAGATTGACCTTGATCGGTAGGGTCAATTCCAGTAATACCGACATTCCCATCGTTAGAGTTACCACCATCGTTATTGTTGTTGTTCGAACCGTTGTCGGTGTTGGATCCAGTAGGGGAAGATGCGCCAACATCAGGACCGGTTTGACCATTACCGACATTTGGACCAGTTGGAGAAGCGTTTCCGACGTTTGAATCGGTTTGACCGTCACTGTTCAAGTTGGTGAAGATGGGACCAGCGGCATTGTTGTTACCATCATCAGCGATGTTTCCGTTGTTTCCATCGTCACCGTTGTTACCGACGTTGCCATTATTGCCATTGTTACCGCTGTCGGGACTAGTGTTGGAGGCGCTAGTGAGACTACCGGTGTTTCCGGGGACACCACCGTTTTGTCCATCATTGTTTCCGGTTGCGATGTCAGCACTGGGAGATCCACCGCCGTAGATCCCCGCACCACCGTTGGGACCATTGTTTCCGTTGTCGCCTGTAGCACCATTCGGGCCGTTGTTACCATTGCTTCCTGTAGCACCATTTGGACCATTGGGTCCGTTGTTACCGTTGCCGCTTGTGACGCCGTTCGGACCAGTGACACCATTGGATCCGTCATTTCCATTGTTGCCATTGTCACCGGTGACACCATTGGCACCGGTGGCACCGTTGTTTCCGTTGTTGCCATCACCACCAATACCACCATTCGGCCCACCATTCCCGTTACCGCCGTTGTTGCCGTTGAATCCAGGAGTACCGATAGGTCCGTTGTTGCCGTTGGTACCGATTTGACCAGGCTGGGCGTTGTTGCCATTCGCACCGTTGGGATTGCCGTTGTTACCATTGCTATTCGAGCCGGTAGCCTGAGGCTGACCGCTGACGCCATTACCATTCGCACCATTCTGAGGCTGAGCATTGTTGCCGTTGTTTCCTGCATTGTTTCCATTACCAGTGTTGGGTCCGGTGTTTCCATTGTTACCAGGATTGTTGCCATTGTTTGGTGAAGGGTTTCCGTTGTTGCCATTGTTGGGTGCGGAATTCCCGTTGTTCCCACGGTTGTCGCCGTTATTGCCATTGTTGGGACCAGCGTTTCCGACGTTGCCACTATTGTTTCCGTTGTTTCCGTTGTTACCGTTGTTTCCGTTAGCAGGTGTAGTCACTGTCGATCCCACAGTCGGAGCAACATTTCCAGCTTGATTCGTAGGTGTTCCACTACCAGCAGTTGACGAAGGAGCATGAGCAAGGAGGACAGCAGAAGTAGGAACAAAATCGGGAATATCGTCATCATCACCATCATCACCACCGATAGGGTCGGAAGAACCGGAAGGATCCGAGGGATCGGAAGGGTTGACAGGACCAGCAAGTCCATCACCATTATCATCGTTATTATCGTCACAAGGAGGTTCAGTACCGATCGTCACTCCCACAGAAGGATCGAGGGGGTCTAGAGGATCGAGAGAGTTGACAGGGTTGGAAGGATCAGCAGAGTGGTTAGGTGGGAGACCGAGGAGTATTGGGCAAGACTGGAATCAGCTTTACTCTTTTCACCATTGATCTGTACTGAACAGGTTAAAGATCATACAAGAGCCAGCTCTGCAGATCGGAAGATAACAAGGACAACTTGTTGGAGATGGTAATGAGTCTGGAGAGTGGAAGAAAGAATGAGAAAAATGAACTCACCCCATCAGCCTTACGCGGTCCAAAAGGACAAGCAAATTCTCCATCACCTTCATCATCCCCATCTGGACCTCCAATAACTCCATCTCCATCATTCCCATTATTCTCTGTTATCCATTAGACCCAGACCACCTGAACCATTCGAGCCACCACCCATTACAACCTGGTATAGCTCCAGCTTGGATATTCTTTCAAATCCCCCAAAGCTTTCACTTGAGCTGCTGCCCAAGCACTCAAACCCAACACATTATTTACACCCGCCACATCATCCACCCTCAATCCATCTTTACCCAAACAAGCACATCCGAGATCGTATATTTTATTATCGATGAATTTCCCAGATACATACGTACAGATTAAATTATCTTTAGTGAGCAATTGGGTGTGACTGAAGATGACCGCCAGAGGAGTTTTATCCAATAAAGCAGATAAACCGGCGGTGAGGTCTGTAGGTGCGATACCGAGAGAAGAACCGAGTTGATTACCGAGTGTTGTGAGTGTACCAAGTACTGGATTACCATTGAGGATGTTTAGTGCTCCTGAAGAATCCGTGGAAGGGTTCGTGGATGTAGAAAGTGGGTTTGTGACTGTGTCCAATGGAGTCGACTGGATTGGATTGGTCAAAGCATCGAGATTAGATAAAGAACCAAGAGGAGCGATATCATTGGGATTGCCGATATTGAGAGCGTTGGCATTGAGGGGTGTATCGGAATCCCCGTTGGTGTTTGAGTCAAGGGACGAGAGAGGAGAATCCGAATCCAGGAGACCACGTTTGAGACGAAGTTGATATGGCATAGGTAAAGCCGAGATTTGCACGAGAAGCGGAAGAACCGCCAAGAGAGTTTTGGTAGTCATTTTGTTATTGCCCTACACTAATCGTCAGTACCTTTTGATGAAGCTCATGAATGACTTTGACTCACCGGGTGGAAAGAGATTCCGACGGTTGTTCTTGATTTTTTTGATGTTTTTTTCTTGTTTTCGGTGATGATGATCGAGGTATGAAGACTATAGACGAGTAAGTCAATGTCCGGGAGTTTGAAATGTACAAAGTTCAGACAAGGAAGAAATCTTTGTTTTGAAGTGACGAAATGAAAATTTTAAAAGGCACTGAGGCCAGGAAGCTAAAGCGAAGGCAAGCGGTTTTTCAAATTGAAGTGAAAAGAAAAGAAGAAGGACGAAGTGAAGTGAAGTTTGAATGAGCCTATCTTGGTGTATATGTATACTTCATATTCTGTTCATTCCATCTTTTGATGTTGTGAATGTCGAGACACAGCTTGATCGAAATTCGAAACGAGAATGATGACAAATACTCATGGCAGTTCATTCAAGTTCGTTATTTTGCCGTTAATGGTCATTATTGATATCTTGGCATTTGTATTGAGTCATGGTTAGTACCGCGCAAGGCGGAGTCAAAGATTATGATGAATCCGTGGGAAGATGCAGTGTGAGTAATGGAAGCCTGTTAGAGGTTCCGAATCGGGGAAGAAAGACGCACTATACTTTTTTTTTCATTTGATGCGATCGATTACAATCCAGATGATTATTCAGATCTATTCTTTCTCTACTTCCCAGGGTATTCTGCGAGACGAGTTACAAGACGGCAAAACGAGGTGACACTATAAGCAAAGATAAGAGGGGCGAGGGGCAAGATAGGGTTGAGACATGATCAGGTGATGTGGATCACATCGCCCTTGTCGTTCTTGAGTACGACCAGATCACAGGGGATGGCTTCACCGGTGTCCATGTAGTGAAGAAGGGTATGATCGAGCGGGTCGACCCTATATGTCAGTTCCATCAAAACCCTTCCACTTCGCCGAATATCACTAATATTGCCCAATCCCAAACGTCCTTCATTAGATGCTACACGACATCAAGGGGTAGTGTCGACATAGTGAAATGACTTTACTCACTTCACTCCCATTCTTTCCATCCATGATCTTCCCAAGATTACCTCAAAGTGCTGTTCTTCACTTATCATAGCCACATGACTTGCGGTCTTTCCCCCAACAGTTATCGGTACCTGTCCCAACATCCTCAATCCCGAGTAACCTCCAAAACCCGTTCCATACTTTCTATCCACCAGTCCAGCACGAATGGCAAAACTCCTTGACACGTACACATGTCTGTATCCCGATTTGAGTAACATTCGAACCCCATCAATATTGGCGACCCTCCCGACCACAGTACGTACACCATTGTTGGCGTGAAATTCTTCCCATTCTCGCTTTTTGGTCACTCCGAGAGGTTCAGCATCATCGTCACCCCACCTACTCTTTCTGCTTCGCGTCGACATGACGCTTTTGGCCCTTGGGACGGACGCTGCAGCTGGCAGAGTTTCTTCTCGAGTGGGTAAAGTGACAGAGACTGCACGTCCTGCGGTTCTTCCTCCAGTTGGAAGCTTTGGTTTATGTGCGATCACACCATTTGGTTTTGCTCCAGTGCCATTTGAGAGCAACGCGCCTGTACCGTTGGGAATGGTCGCGATGGTCTTCTCAACAGGATCGCTCGACTTGGGGAGGGAGGATGCTGGGATAGGAGAGGGAGATGATTTCTGGGTTGATTTCTTGGTTTGCGATTGAGCTTTTGATTTGACCAGACTGGATGGAGTAGAGTACGCAGGAGGAGGGGGTGCGAAATGAGCTCTAAGATTACTCGGAGGAGGGGTGAGTTGAAGGGTGACAGAAGGTGTAGACGATGGAGGAAATCTGGAGAAGAGAATGTCTAAGTCGTCGTCTGGTGTTTCAGCGTCGTGACTCCTTATACAGAGTCCAGCCAAGAAGATAAAAAGAGTGGGTATTTTTGACCCTAAGTGGGTAAAGAGAAAACGTGACATAATGAGATGATGAAGGATTCACCATCATCGAGTGACCATCTTTCCCCTTCGTACTCATATATCAATCCAGCTCCATCCTTCCCCTCTTTGACTGCAGTGGTTTCTTCGAATCCCAAACCAGCCTTCTTGCATATCCGATTGACCAGCCCCACTTGGCCTTCCCCATCTGAACGACGTCAGCGTTGATAGAACGATCGTGATAGACTCACCTTTATGGACGAGAGCGAAGGTCTTGTGAGGTGTATGAACGTTGTATAGGAACATGATTGCTATGAGTAGAGGATGACTGTTGAGAAGAGAAAGAGAGGTGGGTTTATAGGTTCAAGGTTGGAGTCAAGTGCCGGGTGAGATCGATGACGCTGTTTCTCAGGGTGAACAACCACGTGGTAGGAGATGGCTTAGCGTCCCGTGCGGCCCCCGCGTCTCTCACCCACTTTCGACACTTTGGTTCTGTAATCACAACTTTCTTCAGCCGATTTGAGGCATAGCATGAGAATTAGTCATTGGCCAGTGGAGAGTATTCGTGTCTACTAGCTAACCCCGGTGAACTGTCTATCACCTACTTAGACCTGAAGTCAGGGTTATGGACCAACGGTCACCGGTCCCAAGAAAGCCTTTTTATGAAAGCTACTAGCTACCGGCTACTGTAGTACCACATGCCTGGTGAGTCTTATACCCGCCCATCACCCTATGATGTATCAACAATCTGGTAATCCGTACATACCCTATTTAATCCCTCGCTACTTGCTTTTGCAGCTGCTGGGATCTGGGTATGGGAGGTGAGAGAAAGGCGAGCCTGAGGGTGACTTATGATTCGAGTTGTTTTCCTCAGTACCGTCGCTGATGTTGCAGTGGAGCCGAACTTGTCTTTGTCTCCTATCTTCACGCTAGTCATGGGTCATCACAAACTCACTGATACTGATCACTGTGTATATCGATAGCCATTTACATGTTGTATGCATCTTATTACTCGATATGGCCGTTGTCATTTGCCTATCTGGGGAGCATGTCGCTCGTCCGGATTGAGGATTAATTCAATTAAATAGAGTGAAAACAAATGTTATACCCCCTTCTGGCCATTCGTATCCACGTCCCAGATCCCACCCAGATCACAGTGTCACCCAAGACGATAATATTCTTATCAATATAGTGACCCCCCTACCCCCCCTCACTGTCTTGACAGTATAACATAGCTCACAGAGCCTTTACAACCACCTCTTATTACTTCGACCCGTTGGTCAATTCGAAAGCGATCGTTGAACAAATCATCATGGACCCTACCAAGGCGCAGACGGCGGCTACTTTTGCTCATCTCAAGAAAGACAAAGCCAACAAGGTGAGTTATCTTTTCATCGTTCGACTTTCCACTCTGCCAAGCTCTTCTCTGGTGTCTACTGTGTCTCTGGGGGTTTGGGGGATATGTACCAGGCATTACGTGGAGCGGTAGACAAGTCCATGTGAAATCGTATTGACCAACCAAGGCATGCTTCGATTGTGGGGCAAAGAATCCTACTTGGTCAAGTGTCACTTTTGGTATTTATCTCTGTCTTGATTGTTCTAGTGTACATAGGAATCTCGGAGTCCACATTTCTTTCGTACGGTGGGTACTTTGTTATTAACTTGGGTCGTACTCGCTCACCATGATTCATGCTTTCCTTCTTCACCTATTTCACCTACTTCGCTTCGAACTCATCATCAATTATTCTACCCGACATCATATGTGCCTATATCGCCTATTGATGACTGCTATATGTCTATCTTCGCGACACAGATCAACGAACCTGGACTCGTGGAATTTGCAACAACTCCGAACTCTCAAAGTCGGAGGTAATGCTTCCCTAGCCGATTTCTTCACTAAACACGGAGGGTCGAGTCTTCTTCCACCTGGAAACTCTGACGCGAGGACGAGATATACCAGTAGACAAGCTGGTTTGTACAAGGAAGAATTAGCCCGGCGTGTGACGGAGGACGCTAGGAAGTGGGTCCTTCTTCCCTCGCTCTTTCTCCATTATCTGAGACATTATGACCTCCGCCTTGCCTTGACTCGTGCCTGCTTTTGTATCTAGCGGTCGTGGGGAATTTATCGTGTGACCTTCTGGTCAATTAAGACGGTGGAAATACACTCAAAGACGGTCAAAATATACTAACATTCAGATATCCACACGGTATTCATGTCGATGGTCTCGAACTCACTCCACTTGCTTCACCAGCCAAAGCTGACAATCCCGATGACTTCTTTTCCACATGGGACAAAGCTCCTGTCTCCAAACCTGCCACTCCTGTCCCATCTGCCAAATCAACTCCACCCCCTTCCATAGGAGTTGTCAAACCTTCACGCACAGTCACTTCCTCTGCTCTTCGTGCTCAACCCAACGCTCGACCTGCCGTGACTCCCAGACTATCCGCTAGTGGTACCGCCCCTTCGTCCGGTGCGAAGACCTCCAAACTCGGTGCCAAGAAAGCTGCCACATCTATCAACTTTGAAGAAGCTCAGAAGAAGGCGCAAGAGGAGGCTGAACGGATCAAGCGATTGGGATATGATAAGATGAAAGAGGAGGAAGAAGCTAAAGCTTTGAAGGAACGTGAAGCTGAGGAAAGACGGAAAAAAGCTGCAGTGGGAGAAACGGTCAGTAGGACTACCACACCTGCTAATGGTACGGTGAGAAAGGATGATAAACCTGTGCCGGTCAGATTGGGCTTTGGACAAACAGCAGGTGTGGCAGCGCCTGCCGTGGCGAAACCGTGAGTTTGTACATGATCGTTGAGAGGAGGGAGCTGACGTTGATAGACGAGCTGAGGTCGCGGATGAACCACACGCTGCCAGAGACCGATTCGGGAATCAGAAAGGTGGGTAGTTTCTCATATCTATCTTCATATACATCTGAACGGTTTTGCGCCCTATCATGAGCAGGGTCAGAAAGAGACTTCAATCAAGGTTCTTGGAGTGATACACGTCGAGTAATACTGATCTCAAGGTATCTCCTCCGACATGTTCTTCAACCGGGGATTACATGACCAATCAGCCTCTGCTGAAGGTCGTGAACGTCTACAACAATTCGCCGGAGCCACCGCCATTTCTTCCAACCAATATTTCGGTAGACCGGAGGAAGACGACGAAGCCGATCGTGATGGTGCGGGAGATATCCTCGGTTTGGGCGATAACGAGACTATCCAGGGGTTGGAGAGAGGTATAAGGGATTTGGCTGGGAGGGTCATGGCTAATCCTGATGTTCAGAATTTGGGTGATCAGATCAGGCAAGGGGCTTTGAAGGTGAGTTACGGTATCGTGTACACATATCGGACCATCTTGCGTGACCGGAAATGTCGTCGCTTTTCAATATAGTGGATACCCGAGTCATGTTGGTCCAGACTGGCATACATCATTGCAGTTGGTATCAGTGGCATGATGAGAGCTGTGCGGGGTAATGATGCTGACTTGCAGCTGAGCGATTTCCTCTCTTCCCTCGAAGGGCGCTAGAGGATCATCTCTGTAGGATGGATAGAGATAACGAGGTGATGATAGGATTGTCATACATCGGTTCAATGACCAATGGTTTGATGCATCGTGTGTGTATGGTGAATGGTGTGTTCTTGTGGTGGGGCTATTTGGTCACATGTTGCACATGTTGTCTGATGTATACTGACCATCTACAGTAAGTCAGCTTGTCGAGACGGTACCAGTCGCCTATACCTCTAACTACCTGCATTATGACGTTCGGATGAAGATGGTCAAAGGTAAGAATGACGTCACACGTCTTGTCTCCACTTTCTCCCAGATCGAAGTCTACTCGTATGTAGTTACTTAACCGATATCACCATCACATTTACACCTTCATCACCGAACTCGAGTGCGTCTTCTCAACTCACTACTACCAAGAATAGATCTAACAAACAGTACGTCTTTCACCTTCTCCCTTTAACCCTTATCCTCCTCCGTAACCTCTCCACCATTCCACACTTGATCACATATCACATAAATCAACATAAACAAAATTATAGTAGTTCTAGTATTGTGCTGAAAGGAAAGAAAGGAAAAATGCCACCACCTGAAAAGAAGATGGTACATCTTGAAGCTATAAACGCTTTACCTTCTAAATACCCTGATTTTAGAACTGTTTTATGGACTGGTGAAGATAGTCAAGTTGTCGTTATGACTGTTCCTGTTGGTGGTGAGATAGGAGAGGAGGTAAGTTGTTTTCTTCTTCTTCTTCTTCTTCTTCTTCTTCTTCTTCTCCTACTGCTTCTTCTTCTTGACCCCCTCCTACTTCTCCTTCTTTCTCTTCACCCCCCCCCCACCCCCCGAGCATCGGCTCCTGCGACATGTCCCCTTCTTATCCCTCGTCCTCTTCCAAATCCCCTTCTCCTGCAACTGTATCTTTGTTCCTCCTCTCTGCGACAGGTACTTCTTGCCTCCCCATACTCCATTTGATCTCTTAACTTCTCTCCCCATGGA